ACCCTCATGCAATACGTCAAGTAGACCCTTTGTAACTGCGTCACAGCGTGTTGCATACATACTATACAGGGTGAACCACATGACTGGAACCAGTTAAATTTCTTTTAAAATAATTGTTCCTATAAAAATGTCTAAAATAAAGTTGCATAATATCAAGGGGGAATTAATTCATCGTGATTAATTTCGGAGATATTTTTGCTCTCAATTATTGGAGTGACGTAATTGGTGTCGTTGCTACAACTCCCAAAGCAATTATTTCGACATACATTACTGAAGATAAATTCTACGTAGCTTGAATTGAACCAAATATCGAACCACTCGATTTATTCTTATTATTGCTATTTCTCATATTTTTAAACGGAAATTAAATTTTTTTTAATAATATTATTAAGGATGATAACTAAGGATGATAACTAACTTAATACCATGCATTCATTATGATCATAATATTTTAGAATAAAATCGAACTTTCAGCCATGTGCCCGACCTTGTATAACCCACTCTCTTGCAATTAGATGGAACATCCCTTGACACATCGCTAAAGATTCATGTTTTATGTGATGCAATAACCGCCTTCAAACGGATTATTATTGCTGCTATTCTTCACGTGGGACAACGAAATTATCAGCGAGACCGTTTTTCTTGTGAAATTAACGTCCTGCAGACTATGGTCGCATGTACACGTTACGTTACAAATATTTGCCTATTAAAGCGTTTACAAATTCTGGTGATGTATGTTTTCCGCGTAAATCAACAATATGGTTGGCTCGAAATTGAGTCAACTCAGGAAATTATTAGCCTAATCTTAAAATTTCAGAAATTAACACAATTATTCTAGTTAAAAAATTAATTCCCAGCTTTTAGTACATGTAGAGAGGGATAATCATCCCGATAATTTACGCTAGAATTGTCCGTGGAATGTTGAAAGGGCTGCAATGATTTTACGGTGAATAGATCGCTGTATACGTATTCTGTCCTCCGGAAAGTGGACTAGTATCGTGCTAGTCCGACGTTACCGATAACGACGCGACGAGAATGGGCGAAAGAAAGAGGGGGAGAAATAAAAGCTAGCAATATCACGAGATCGTTCTTTGGAGTTGGCGAAGCGCGAAAGGGATTTCTTGTGCGATCGTGATGGACCCACGGAATCGCTTCACCTCCAAAAGGCGTACCTACTTCGTATTAGACCTTTTTCTAGTATTGACTCGAACTGAAATGGAGCACACAATCGAGATCGATACACTACCATCGTCCATAAGCGACAGAGAAATAAATGCTGTGATGAAACGCTTTAAGACAGAAACTTTCGGAGACTGGTCTATATTTTACGTTGTTTTCGTCGTAAATGCTACTAAATCCAGACAAAAAATAATTTTTGCTGAACACGCCCCACGTTTAATAAATACTTGACAAATATTTTAGAATTCGAATACACTAGTCTCTGGATACATGGCCGCGAGTCAATCTCCACCAATTATCAGAAGTGCTCGCTCTACGCCAGCCTCCAGTCTTATCTATGTCTCTTCTTCTTGTCTCTTTATTGTTGTCTCGCTCGCACAGTCTACACTGTTTACTTTTACCCATACTGCGCGCTCCAATGACGAGCGAATCTGGGTACTTAATCCGCCTCTTCGGACATGTGGCCATTAGTAAGTAAAATACCTCTTTTAATCAGACTAAAGGGCGAATCTGAGTCGATTATCGCTAAAATGGCTAATTGTGGAAGTGGAGGACTGTTTCCGGAAGGCGAAGAGCGATAAACATTATAATATACATTACGGTCTGCACTAGAATATTCCCGAAGCAGAAGGTTGAATAGTGCTGTTCAAATGTTTTCAATTTCTGTTTTATATGTATATGTAACATATAGAGAAATCACCTCGATGATAAAGCATCTTTACAGAATTAAAAAGCATTTAGATAGTAAGTGTTAATCATGTTTCCATAAAGAAGTCGAAGAATGTACAACGCGTGGCCTAGTGCTTTTCAGTGACACCACTCGACGCATTATTCCGATTCAATCAGTCGTGATATCAGTGTTTCCTCAAAGGGAGTACAGCGCGCGGCTACATCGGAATCGTTTCGCAAATAAACGCGGCTGAGCATTGTTATACTGGTTGCCAATGGAACGCGACTCAAAGTGAACTGTGAAGAAGCCTGTGGTATTTCGTATGGTCCTCTTGTTGCTTTAACGTCGCTTTGGTAATGGAACAGGCGACATGCCTTTAATAGACGAGAGTACGTCACTGTGGCTCCGGATTTCTGCAATGATAGAACAGGAAATTCCACCTTTCTCCTAATTAAAAAATGTTTCAAAATCCTGGTTATAGTTCGAACAGTGTGCGAAAGAGTATTTTATCCTAGAGGATATGTATTTCGCGTGTTACTTTGCTCGAAGGCTTCCGTGTTCCACTTCACTAGATTGCAAAACAAGAAAATAGAAGAACACCGAGAGAACCTTGGCCAAGCTTTTTCCTATAAAACTCGGATGTTTATTCACCTTCCCAAGAAACACTGTACGTTTCAAATTTTCCATCATCCATCATCACGACCATTTTGTCAATTAATCTGCAAGATTTTATTCTCCCATTAACTCTTCAAGTTCCAAATAACTATGTTAATTTCTGTCAATTGAAAGATCGATGTGTAAGCTATCACAAAAATTATACATTAAGCTACCAAAATCATTTACGTCCACGTCTCATCTTCTTCACAACAAGATCAAGTGATACCGAAAGCAAGTACATACGTATAAGGTTTGATCTGCTTCTCTTGGTCGGCTTACGTCCTCACAATCGAACATGCTTACCTCCATTGCGATCCTTTTCTAATCGATAGCCGGGTGCGAACGAAAGCTGCCAAAGGGCAATCGATTTGTCAAGCTTTGCCGGACGATTTGGCAGTATGTCACAGAAGCATCACGCGATGTTCCAGACGATTGGCTGTGTACATATATTGTATATTGCATACCGAACTGGGCGACCGCCATCGATTATCGCGTAATGCCAGTGACATTCGGTGGGAAATAATACGCGCGGCCATTAGAAGTAGTCGGAGCGGAGCCGACGTCAATTTCCGGATTTGCAAGAGAGCTAGCCACCGCGCCGCGCCGCCTCGTTCTATCGTGAACTCGAATCTATCGGTTGTTTATCGACCACACGGCCTCGGCCACGACCGCGTGAACCTTCGTTACCCCTATCGGCACGCTTAGTACACGCGATAATTCGCGTTCGGAATTTGCAGCTCACAAACTTCATGTCAAGATACGCGAAGAATTTATAACATGCGCGCTTGTACTTCCAGAAAATTATGTTGCGAAATGGAGATTTCTGAAATATAATAAAAGGTAAGGACTACAGAAAAAAATTTATGTAATTTCACAGTTCTTGAATGTTCCTTCGTTGTAAAAGAAAAGACAAGATTGGTGTATCGATTTCATTTCGGAGTACACACGAAATGTAGACAGAAAGTAGGATAATGACAATGCGAAGTTGGCGAAGCGAAATCGAAATCGGAAATTGGAAGCTCTCTACGTGTAACGATCGGGAATTTATATTTGTTTCTCTTTTTGCCTTGGTCTTTATCAGGGGTAAGGGTTCGATTCAAGTAATTCGTCGCTAGTCAGCGAAATTACCGTCGCATTCAGGCTGCTCCGACGAACATCCCGGTCGAATGAGAGAGACTCAACGGTTCCACACTGATTTTTATTCCCTTTTTAATCGCGTCCACCGGGAAACATCATTCGGACTTGTCGAAGCTCGTAGATATTAAATTTTCTGGCCAATGGTATTTGGAATCGGAGTTGTGTAACGACCATTCCTGTGAGTTTGTTGGCGTACAAAAAGAGCGTCCCGGTATTTGTGTTAGTGGTTGCACACCGCGGTTATAAACAGTAGAACAGAAAGAACCAAGTTCCAAACTAGAAAATCCTCGCTTCGGGAAAACTGCTATCTTCGGCAGTTGGAGTGCGACCGGTATTAGATACGAGGCGAAAAAGTTCACCGGGAAGAAAAATGTAATTCTGAAAGTCTACGAATTGTTAAAGTCGTGATCTGCCTTGTGAAATTTTTTAAATTACTTTACCTCGATGATACCACATTACGGATTCTACTCGAAACGCTTGAATAATAAGTAAGAAATTAATGAAATTAGGTCAATCTCTTCGTGGAATATTTTTTACCCATAATTTTACCAGACAAATGATTCCAATATGACAGAAAGATCTTAGAGATTTTTGTCTCTGAGGTTTCTCCGCTATAAACTCTGTTGAATAATGCCGGGATGAAAGTTTTCTTCAGGATTTAATTCTTCGAAAATAAGATTGAGTGATGGTTGGCATTTTGTTCAAAATTCCTTTTGTTTCTGGCAACGAGATTTTCTAAAATTCTTGGAACTACTGTCAAAAGCTCTTTGTTCTATATTGTAAATTGTTTCTGGCGGAAAGTCCAATAAAATGACACACAAAACTCTGAGCGAGGAGCTACATATGATGAACAGCAATGTTACATGTTGCATCTAGTTTCTTGCGTTCGCGCATATTCTTCACGAACTTCGTTGCCAAAGGTGGATGAGAAAGTAAACTTTGAACTTTTGAAAGGATTTCTATATGTCCGAGTTATACATTTCATATTTAATTTGTTGACCTAATTATCTTACAAAATCAATAAAATTTAGAAAGATAGGACAGCGTATGAGGTCGTTCATCTGTAAATGAATATCCGTGTTCTCTCCGTAAATGAATCATTGATTCAAGACTTAGCGAACACCAAGCGCTTACCATAAGTCAAGTGACCGACACACTAACAATACGACATATGACATAGTATTCAACCTCGAATCACATAGGTCAGTATTCGCGACCTCCGAATAAAAGATTCCTAACAGAGCTTTCTTTCTTCAATTGAGAAAGTCAACTTTCTCAAGGAGTAAGTGAGTTTGCTCCGTCGACGACGAAGGTTCCAAGGATGGTTCCAAAGCTAATTCAGCGGTACCTTTTTCAGATGTGGACGTGAGCATATTTTTTGATAAGCTCGGCCAGGATCTCATCCACACAGCTCGCGACGGTCTTCTCGAGCGGGCGTTTCGTTGCCTCGGGAACGATTTGACGGCCTTTCTCACAACTCTGGATGGTGTAAATGACGTCGTCCAACATCAATCCGGATCGGAGACTGAGGCGGAGTTCGTGTGCATCGCTACCCCGGAAGCGATCGAGCTACACTTCACAACTGACCATCCGCCTATCGCATACCTTCTCGTTGGTAGCTTGAAGAGTATCGCCGCAGAATACTACAACGACAATGCAAATGTATACATTTTGCCTGATCCCTACAATACGAGATTTTTTAGGTAAGCGAATCTTACGTTAGCGCATCTTATCGTTAGTAATTAAACATAATTTTGTGTTTACAATAGCGAGATCATTTACTGAGTCATCAAGAAAACAATTTACAAATGATACGAAATGTAAAAGAAATATAGCGTTCGTTTACTGAGTCGGTTCGTTTAATAATGAGGAACAATAGAATAAAAATTTAAATCCGCTGTCCTTAAATTCTTTACAAAAATCTGAACAAACTTGGCAAAACACTGTCGCATCCGCTCCTTGAACATCACGTATTCTATTTAACATCTCATCGAATATGTTATAATACAATACGGTTTAATGAACTGTTTCACAGGTATCGTATCACCCCTGAGCGTTATAGCGAACATTCGATCGACGATTCGGAGATCGACGATAATGTCGACACGGTCAGATCTCCGTTCCGTCCACTGTCGACCGAGGCCACGGACCTTCGTATAGGGGTGGCCAGTTTCTGCAAAGCGTTCCCATGGCATTTCGTAGTCGATCGACAACTGGAGCTCGTGCAGCTCGGAGTCGGGTTTATGAGAATTTTCGGGCAACATTTAAACCGATTGGGTAGAGAAATATCGACGTATTTCATTTTTACACGACCACGCGGAGTTACGCTGACCTTCCACGAGATACTGAAACGTGCAAACACACCGTTTGTGCTCACCCTCCAGAGACCGCAGGGCGTCGATAAATATCCAGCGGAGGTACGCGAATACATTATGTTCCGCATGGAGATCAGTCGACATTATAAAGTTACGCGTAACGGAAGTCGATACTCGCTTATTTATATAAACGCGTCAGATTTGAGCTTCATAATCTATATATATAAATTCTAAATTCAATTGTTTTGCAAACTATTACGTTTATTTTTTACGAAAATTAATTATTTCATCAAGTATATTTTAAAAGTCCTTATTTAATATGTTTCGCTGCAATATATTTCTTTATTGAATCTCGTTCCCAGAATTTCGCTGCTGATAAAATATCAATCATTCCAGGGTTTAGAAATGAAAGGTCAAATGGTTCATTGTCCGGAGTCGGATTCCATCTTATTCGTAAGCTCACCATTCCTTAATGGTCTAGAAGGACTAACTAGTCGAGGACTTTTTATATCCGATATTCCATTACACGACGCCACAAGAGACGTTATTCTGGTTGGGGAACAGGCCAGGGCGCAGGTACGATCAGATCCATATTTTATACTGATAGTTGATATTATCCTTACTCCTTATGTTCGCATTTATTTTATGTCATATAACCTTTGTTCTTATTTCTTATATACACAATATTATACTAAATCGTACTATGCATTGGAAACGTTTTACTCTAAATTTTTCTCTGGGAAATTTTACGGCATGAATTTATAATAATGATCCATGAAATTTTTGATACATACATACTAAGGGTGTGCGGGTATGGTTAATGGAAAAGGTATAGTGAGCTCGTAAAACTGTCATAAAAATTATTGCAGCTTAGCTACCGAAATAACAATCTCCGGTAGGATTTACTTCTCAAGACGGGTCAGGGTCGAGTCAAGTAAATTTACTTGGTGTCCTACTCTTTAAATCCGGTGTTGATTCTTCGTTATAAATTTCAGTTGAATATATTTCCGAGTTTATTCGTATCGAGAAACTTGAGATTTTCACAATTATATAAGTTATTATACATATGTAGTGTGATGTAGTGATATATGTATTTTTACACGCATTTACTTAATGTCATCTCCTTAGAACTGCAATTATTGCCTTTTGAATGCTCGATTGCGAATTCTAAAAATTCTGATCGCTTTCTTCGTAAACTTAGAAATTCCCAACTGCCAGGAATCTCCAGGTTCTCGCAGCTAGGAATTTCATAAAAATTTCTTTACCCTTCAGTAAAAGGTATTCTCATATCTGGAAAAGGCGACCCTAATAAGCGGATAACCGCAATAGGTAAGTACGGGTATTAATTTTTATGACGAAATTTATGATGGGAGATTTACAACTTCCGTATACCCTTTCTAACCGAACTATACCCGAAATTTTCGGTCACTTCAGCCTCAGGTCGGGATCCCGAAAGTTTGACCAACACTTTTTGTTCGGGTACACACCCATAATTACGGGACACGAATTCAACTAAGCACTCGAAACTCAAGCCGGGAGCCGTCATTACATTCGCAGTAGGATTTTTCAAACAGACCTTACACTTTTAAGTTTGAAAGTGTTTTCATATCGTTTGGTATACGTATAATCGGCATCGAATTCAACGACGGCTATCGAACTTAGTTTTGAATCTCAAGTCGAGTTCTCGAATCCCGAATTGGAAATTACGGATATACGAACAAAATGTGCTTGACATATTTTTTCAATCCCATTCGAACCCGAAAAAAATTCCCGACCCGAATTTTCGGGTACTCGCATATACATACATATGTATAAGCAGCAGATCGTGTTTAGCATCCTTAGATTTTTAAAAATGGCGCTCACTTTAGAGAGATGTTTGCTCTTCCACGATAGAGGACAGTAGCTTACAAGAGGATTAATTATCAGATGGCGCTACCGTCCAATGAGACGATTCAAATTGATGTAGATAAAGTCATTTGTACATTTTATGAGTAATAAAAAAATAAATCATGTACATTTTTGATATTTAGGATGGCTTGAGAAGGCGAATGGATAAGTTGAAGAGTTCCATAGAGGAAGCCAATCTTGCTGTCTCAGCAGAAAGAGAGAAGAACGTTAGCTTACTTCATCTTATATTCCCTCCAGATATAGCGAAACGCTTGTGGCTAGGTAAGAATATAATTATATTTCAATAATTCTGGTACTTTAATAATCCTCATATTTTACTAACTTAATTTGTATTTTTAGGAGAAACAATCGAGGCGAAGACCTACCCCGAAGTAACAATGCTCTTTAGCGATATCGTTGGTTTCACGGAAATATGTTCCACCGCGACGCCAATGATGGTCATCAATATGCTTCAAAATCTTTACGAACAGTTCGATTCATTTTGCGGTCAGTTAGATGTTTATAAGGTGCGAACTTTACATACGCGCATAACGCATCTCAACAAACATACAGTTAACCACTACTAATTTCTTTGTTAATTGAAATAAAAATTTCAGGTAGAAACAATCGGAGATGCTTATTGCGTTGCATGTGGTCTCCATCGCGACACTTCTACTCATGCACAACAAATAGCTTGGATGGCTCTAAAAATGATACAAGCATGTTCTCACCACCTGACTCATAAGGGTAAACCTATAAGGGTAAGAGAACATTTGTAATACTCAAATAATCATTTATTACCAGACATACATATCCAGTGTGTCCAAGGATTGACACTTTCCTGTTGAGGTGTGAAAGAACCGCAATCGATAGTTTCTCTTCCACTTTTTTTCCCGATCCAATGTTATGCACTGGAGCGAAGCTCCGCCATTACGCCGCGTTCCATTTCTTTTAATTCATTTTTTCGGTTTTTGTTTATTGGTGATAGAGTAGGATAGTCATGTGACTTTTCTAACATTTCTCGGCAAATTTTTAAACTATTAAAAATAATGCAAAATATGTGTTTACGCCATTCCATTCTATAGTATATTTGTTTCTCACAGAATGAAGACAAAACTTCTTCCATTTAAAATATTTTTTGTTCGCAATAAAAAATATAATGATAAATAATTCGGGCAAAGTTATCTTTTAAGTTACACTGGATTTATAATAGGTTTCCGACATGTAATGCTATTAGGATTAACATTTTAGCGCAGGCATGGCCAAAGTTGTCGCCGCGCGACACGACCTTGCCCGGGAGCCGGAGTGGGGCACGCAGTCCGAACGGTTAATAGTGTGTGTATGATGCACGCACGTAACATACTGAAATAATGTGAGGGCTTCCTGGGCCTACTGCACGAAGTAGGGAGAACAGCTACAGTGGGGCACATGTACTTGGCCATGCCTGTTTTAGCGTCTTATAAATTCATTTCACTGAAATTGAAAATTGTCCTGATCCTGATTATCTTTAGATGCGAATCGGCATACACACTGGAATGGTATTAGCTGGAGTGGTTGGGAAAAAAATGCCGAGGTATTGTCTTTTTGGGCACAATGTAACCTTAGCCAATAAATTCGAATCTTTAAGCGAACCACTTCGCATCCATGTTAGTCCAACGACATACGAGTAAGTAATTCTCACGTTTCAAAGAAAATGTTATTTTTGTTTTGCCATACTAAACAAAAAGATATTAAACTGAATAAATGAACGTGTCTTTGTAGCAGCTTATTAAAGTTCTCCATATCAGGATTTGACCTCGAATCACGAGGAAGAGAATTCCTGCCGAAAGAATTTCCGGCTAGCATAGAAGGAAATTCATACTTCTTGAAGGACTACAAGCACAAGGATGTCAACGTAAATTTACCTTTGGAGTTACACATTCAGAGTGCAATCAGAGAATATATTGGAAACAACGTGTAGATATTATTTAAATTAAGATAATAAGAAGCCATTCCAACGAATGTGCGTCGTTCGTGAATGTCACTGTACCAATCGCTACTTTGTCCGTAACTTAACTAAAAATAAGTACACTTCCGGTAAACGTCTGTTTCTAATGAGTTCCACGCAAACTGGCACCGTGTGACGACGCTGATTCTAACCAGCCTAACTGACTTTCTGGACCCATAATATTTATACGCAGAGTTTTAGGTTACAATTATTACATACTTATGATCATATGAGTAAATAAATCTGTATGATAAACATGTTTGTATAATTCAATCTTCAACATTCCCTTCGATATTCGTCGTTTACTCTATAAAATTTCCTATGAATTGATTCTTGTTTGACCATTGCATATTACGTAGACATATTGCTTGGATCGCACAGTTGTGTTTGATTTGATGACATAAAAATTAGATTGATAAATTTCGTCATTTCGACTTCGTCAGTTCATGTACGAACTGCTAACATATTTATGAGTTAGAAATATGTATGTATAATCCCGCGGATTATATATAAATTCAACTCCTTTCGAAAGAAAAAAATTAAATTCTAAGGAATTACTTTTGCGATCTACCATTCGATTAGTAAACTATTTCATAGACGATGCTTGTGTACCAGGCCAGTTAAAATTCCATTTTTCCAACATGAATCGCAGGAAATCAATATGTGAAAGTACTTTACTGCGAGTCGATAGAAAGGAATATAAAGCTAGTTCTTTTTACCTGTTTCTTTACCTACATCTGCCCCTTTGAAGCCGACCGGTCCGGGCTTCTTGGCTTTTATTTTTGATAAGCCTCGTTCCAGATTCGAATCTCATACTAGGCGGTTCTTTGTTCGCGGAAATAATAGAACTATTTGTATTCTTTACCGAGGCAGCCGGTTATCGTTACGGGCTGCGGCCCGGTGGGTGCGTTGTCCGGTAAGTACCAACTTTTTCTTCCTCCTTGACACGAGACTCCATCGGTGCAGTCGTCTCGCAACATTACTCATTTACCGTAAAACGTTACATTCCCATAAACGTGTTTGTTCTGCTTTTCTGGCCCTGGTTATTACGGTTTTCCTTAATTTCTCCCATTTATCCATAACGTTGATAACCGCTTAAATAATCATTTCATTTACACAGAAAGAAAGGAAACACGAATAGCAGGGAAAAGAAACGAAGCTATCGTATTTAACTTGCGAGATGCGAGAAAAGCTGCGAGATAAAAATAATGCAAATTTAATCGTTTGCTGACAATGATTTCTGAATTAGTCTTTAGTTAATTATGTGCATTTTTTTAAACCCCGCGGAGAGTTTAATTTGCCCTATTTCCCTGCAAACGTTTATAGAACACAATTATTGAAAAATTCTGCAGTATATATTATTTTTTTATTCGTACATATTCACTTGCTCCGATGTATATGTTATTCCTAAAATAAATAAATTGTGTTTGCCATCCAACATACTCGGATAAATACATGCATATAAATGAAAAAATGATCGTTAATTATTGTTTAATAAGTAAAGTACCGGTCCTTATTGTGACTGGTTTCGGTTATGCGGCGTTGTGCCTGCGTTATTTCACCAGTGGCCACAAAGGAAATCGGGGAACAACGTAAAACTAAAAAGCCGGCAAGAAAGGAATTACAAAAGAGCCGGCACTATTCCCCGTTCTTTGATTTTCGTTCGTGTTGGTACAAGTAAAGGGAAAATGTGTGCACTTGTATGTATATCCAGTCGCGTGCTTTCTCGCGTGCCCTGCCTGTGTAAACGTACCTTTACTATTTCTTATGCTGCCATTCACTGTAACCAGACCCGCGGCCGTGCAAAGAGAAAGAAATTAAACATTGGCCCTTCCGGCAATGCCGCGTAATCAAACGCCCGGTGAAACTAACGAACCAGCTCACGGAATGGGACAGTCGGAGTTTTCTGATACTAGAATACAAAAAAAGTGAGAAATACGAGAGAGAGAGAGAGAGAGAGAGAGAGAGAGAGAGAGAGAGAGAGAGAGAGAGAGAGAGAGAGAGAGAGAGAGAGAGAGAGAGAGAGAGAGAGAGAGAGAGAGGAGAAGGAGTACATATGCATACAGGAATAATAACTTAGGTGATGTACAATGAGAAATACACGTATCTGCAGAGGGATTATAGAATGTGGAATATCTTCTCGTAACGACGATGAGTATTGTATACCGTAATTGCTTGCCAAGTTCCTTTCTTTCAGTGTAGTGTAAAAGTTGAAGGGAGTTGCACCTAATGGTACAATAAGGTAATTGAAACATGGACGAATAGATTATACATATAGAAACGCAGAGTCGCGGTTTGTATGGTTATTGAATAAACTCTTGACAATGAATGGGTGATTAGATTGAATGGGGAATCGTAAGTGAGCGATAATTTCTTTCTTCCGCTACCTGACTCTGAATATAACTCGAATTCGATAAATATATTCTCCATTGAAGTTGCAGTATCTCCGGTTTACACTCGAAATGTAACATTATTCCACTTGGGTGCATGCACTGTTCGTGTGCCAGGAGGTTCCCTGCAATAGATTGCTCGTTGTACGGTAATGCACCGAAGTAATCGATTCGTGGCCACTTGACGCATTTCGAGAATCATCGACATGCATTTGAGACAATTAATTAAGCAGAGCTTCCATTGACATATGAGAAATTCGAAAAGTTTCGAATTCACTTTAATTAACGGCGGAGAACAACGTGTTTCCAAGGCCGATCAACTGTGATTAAAAAATGAAAATGAGAACACGTCTGTGTAATTGTTTCGAATAAAACTGCATTATTTTATATTTTCATGAGTCACTCAAGTATTCCGAATAGCAAATAACCGCGAAGCAAATCAGATGGATAATAATTCATCAGCGAATTAATCTTCATTTTTACACGGGTATGTAAATGTTTTAATAAGATACTCGCGTGGTTAAACACCAGCGACGGAATGTTTCAACTATCCCCAGTTTAGTATACATGGCGTTATCCACATTCTCCCCTTAATTACATTCTCTTAATAGTTTGTAGCAGCTCCAGGTAAACTCATGCAACTTCAACGAAATTAAGAATTATTCTGAACGTTTGAAACTAATTACAATTGTTTCGATTTAACGTTCGTACACGACATCAATTTTTGTGTAATAAATTAAATGTATAGAAATAATTTAACATGCGTTACTTAATTTCAGTTATAACTAGTTTCATTATTAGACTTTAATCCTGTGCGTATGAGTGCTTTTTTACGTGGAGACATAAATGTTTTTCATTCTTCACGTTTCAGTCCCAGGTTGTCCTCTTTCACGGAGAACAGGACAAGTATGAGACAGGCCTGAAAAATTACCGCACTACTGTCTACTACAAAAGTTTCATTAAGAAGCACGCCGTAATTTATTTTCACACCAACATCCTGTTCTTTCCGTTTACTAGATTTTTGCTAAATAGAATCAAGTAAATATAATATACCGAAAGAAATATGCACCCAATTTAATAGTGAGAGTAAAAAATGCAATTCAGTGCATAATTCATAGGACTCGTACTCAGCTTTATTCAGAAAATATAAATTAATGCAATTTCTAAATATCGTGTCTTCGTGACCCTCGGTTTCACTTTGAAATTAAATATTTCTTTTAATATTTTACCAAATTGTATTTAGAAGTTTACTGTACACGACCACATGCTAAAATAAATGATGCTCAAAGATAGTGTAGATATGCAGTATGCGAACGCATAAAAGAGAACAATAAAAGTCAGCAAATCTCGAATAGCACGTCATCCTGTCGATTTGATGTGCCCAGAGTCACGTACACGTACGTACCTAGGTACGTACGAACGTGTTCGCGGTCAATATTACAGATGCAAAAATTTGTTGCGTTCGGGTGAACTTATATTATACGTGCGCTACGTTTTGTAGCCGGCTAACGTCACCGAATTTCCAAACGCAAAGCACCGGGTGCTCTAACTATAATAATTCCTCATAGCATGTGTGTATCAAGCGCAGTACGTTGCAGGCAAACAATGTTCTCGGACAATGCGCAACAAAACAACATTGCCAAACAATGTTTCTCCGAGGAATATAAAATAGAAACTGATTCGGTTAATCGCGTGTATGCGCAACGCATTAAAAATCATAAATAGATATTATTGCCGTGAATGAGAAGAGGTTGTGGAACGATGCACAAACCGTATAGAACGAGGGGACCACAGTGATTGAAACGTAATTTATTCAATTGCCTTTAATAAATGGTGTACACTGATATGTGCAGACAAAAATTCAACCGACACTCCGCCACGTCCTTCCCATTAACATTAATTATTATGTTAAAAACATTAGCGCCAATTAATCGCATATGTACTGTCCAAGAATTAGTTCTCGATCTGATACTAACTTTTTATCAGTCTATGAAATACGTCGTTCTTTTCAATTTATGTTTACAGATAACTGTTAGCAATTATTTCTCAAATAGAGAATGCCAATTCAAGAATATATCTGCAATAATTTGCAACTATTAAAAATAATTTTCATTACTTTTGTTTGTTCTAATTTCGTAACAGTACGAATTTACATATAATTTTCATACACGTTCAACAACGTGTATCAGAGTTATAAGTTTCAATATTTTCGTCTATGCATTTAATCGTTCGTACACAATGACTATTGTTTCCTCGAGCTTTATACTCCTACAATCTCTCCGATTAACTTCCCACGTGTTCAAAAATTATGAAGGTGAAAAATACAATTGCCAAAAGCAAACGTGTAGGAGTAGCCTATACATACATATACAATGCATATACACTGATTTTTATGTATGTGTGGTATCGAAGAGTCTCGACATATTATTGACTTACTTTGACACTATTATGTATTAAATAATGGCCCTAAAGCGAGAGGAAAGAAAAATATTCAATGCTGTTAAGATAAAAAAGTCCTGTTGTTGATTCTTTGATTCGATTGACGAATTTGGAAGATAATATATAAAATTCGGAAAAATGAAAAATTGTAACCGAGGCTCCATTTTTTACTTATATAAGTGCAGATTACTGCACTTTCATTTCACCCACAGAAGATAGTATGTAATATGTATCAATCACGCGTAAATTTTCAATTTTTGAATTTACAAGCTTATAGATAATTTGAACCACGTGTGCTCCAAATAAGTGTTACATACTACGCAGTAGATAGCCTACATTCGGTATTTACCTAGAAGCCGAAAAAATTGTTTACTCTAATTGCCCTACTGTCATGTGAATGTGTCGCACGATTTGTTAAAGCGGGCGTA